TGCTGGTACTGCATCAGCTCTCTCTCTTCTTTCCACCTTATTATACAGTAAGACTCAAAACTCTAGGATGGTGCTGCCCACATTAAAGACAGGTCATATACATACCTCAGTTGATGCCTTCTGGAATGTGCTTACAGACACATCCAAAAAGTTTGCCTCATTGATTTCCTAAGTATTTCTTAATCCAATCAAAATGATGATGGAAATTAGTCATCAAAACTCTAGATTACTAAAAGAAATGAGACTGCATATGATTTCAGCTTTTGTTCCCTAGTGCTAAGCACTTAATATAAGCTCAAATTCATTTGTTCAAGTAAATTAAATCTAACAGCTTTGAATTCTGCACAAAGGACACTAAACAATTTGTTGAGATAAATTTGTTAGGTACTTTACAAAAGCATATTGACCTCTTCAGATAAAGGACATTAACTTTCTAGAGCTACTTAATTATTCTCTAACTCACTGATGCATTTATCTCCTGAATTCCATAATTACCAAATAAGGAATTGCTGGTAGAGAAAGAAATTGAAATATACTGCTCCAGGCCACCAAACAATGCCCAGATGACCCAAAGCATTTGTTAAAAAAATAGATACATTCTTACCAACAAAGTTAATTTTGTTAATTATTACAGAGGGGAGATAAATTTGTAAAGATCCCAAATTCCAGAAGCTTATGAATTTGAACACACTACTGTGGCTAACAAAGTTAAAACAAGGAATATACAAAAAATGTCAGTGGTGACATGGAAACACAATTAAATCTCCTTCAACCACAGCCTGAGTGAGAATGATAGTGAAGCTAACATGAGCATCATGGCTACCCAAGCAGTAGACACAGACAGTGAGCAGTTCCCATAAATCAGAGAGTTCTGAAAGAAAAACAAATAATCTACCATATAATGTGCTAGGAAGAAGATTTTCTAGATCAAGGCTATCACCAGACAGGACAAAAATGGATATGAAATACACAAATGAAGATTAGAAAAATGAACTTTCAAACTGATGGGGAGCAGAACTGGAGTTAAATCTTTAATCGCAATGACACAGCATGCAATCATTGATGCCTCAACACAGAGTCCATTCACTTCCTGAAATTTCACTACATGATTAAGACTAGAGAAACAAACTCTAAGCATCAATGCCTTTTTCTATCTTTAGTGAGTGAAGCAGTCATAATAAAAACCATAACTTTAAGGAATAATGGAATAACTCATATTAGCTATACCACAATAAGCCTGGACATGGAGAGATGGCACTCAATTCAACCCTTTCCTCACTAAACCTGAATATCAAAATCAACCCTTGAAAGTACATCAGACTTTGTAGAAATTTCTCTCAAGATCTTTATGGTGAGGCCATTTGCAGACACTATTCCCTTCCCAAACTACCCATCAGCGAGCAGAATCAAAACCATAATCCCAGCAGTCACCTAGAAGTAATAGATGAAAAATGAAGCTCGGTAATTTAAAGAAAGCAGGCAAAGAGTACCATAGGGTATCAAACACCTGCAAGAGATGCATTAGAAGGCTCATTTAGCCCTGTCTAAACTGAGATCAGAACCAGACATGCCTCTAGGAAAGAAAAAGAAAAAGAAAGGGAATTGTGATCATGGGTCTAGCATCCACAAAATTGAACCAAAGCTGAGAATTGCTTTTATTTTCTTCTCCAGTTTCTTCCAGTCTTATTTTTAAACTAAGAATTACCCTATTTAAAGAATAATAACAACAAATTATAACCAGCTAAGAACAGAAGCCCAAAAGGTAACTTTTCAATAGAAAAAAAAGTATTAAACATGTACCATGAATTAACACTGTAATAGATGATTTGGTAATATAAGGTGGTTGTACAAAGAGGCATGGTCTTGCGAAGCGTCAATCTATCTAGATTATACATGATCAATAAGAAGGAATTATTAAATAATTCAATAAAATAGAAAGCTATAATTATATGAAACTATAGAGAAACAGAGTTTCAGATAAGAAGAAGCAAAATTAATAGAATACAGAACAAAGACTGGGTTCCATAGGACATTAAAAGAAGCCACATTGTAAGGTAAATTTGAGCAGATTAAATTAAGGTTGAACATTGGGTAGAAAAGCATTTCAGATGGAAGGAGAGTATAGATTAGTAGAATTTGACATCAGAAAGTTGGTAGCTATGGTGCTGTAGTAAGCAAGACAGACTTTTACAAAATTATTGCAAAGAACTTTACATTTACTCTGAGGGAAATGGAAAATCACCATAGAGTTCTAAGCAATGAGCAACTAGCTCTGTTCTATAGGGAAACACTGGTTTCTATGTTGAAAACACAATTAGTGGAAAAAGCAAAATCTGGAAGACCTATTCAGCTACAAAATAAATGTAACAGGTACTCAGGCTAGTTCAGATGAGTCAGAGTAGTTGACTTTGGCTGTAATGCCAACAGATGCTGTGATATACTCAAAGTTGAATAAAGGACAATTTCAAGGTTTCCAGCTAAAAGATATATAAGAATGGCTGTGGTGGTTTGAAGGAAAATGGCTCCTAAAGAGAGTGGCACTAGTTGGGGTGTGCCCTTGTTGGAGGAAGTATGTTGCTGTGGGGACTGGCTTTGAGGTTTCCTTTGCTCAAGCTTCCCTCAGTGTGACTGTCAGTTTGAGTTCCTGCTGCCTGCAAAATGTAACACTCTCAGCTCAAGCATGAGGTCTGCCTGCACACCCCCAGGCTCCGAATCATGATGATAATGGACTGAACCTCTGAAACTATAAGTAAGCTATATCAATTAAAGTTTTTCTTTTTCTTTATAAGAGTTGCAATGGTCATGGTGTCTCGTCACAGCAATTAAAGCCCAAACTAAGACAATGGCTTTCATGGATTCAGGGTGAAATGATGGTCCCTGAAAGAGAAATAGCAAGACAGAGAGCCCTGTTTTGGAAGTGCTAAGTGTGAAGCATCAATCTTACACGTGGGAAGATGTTTGCTTAGAGCACAGAATATACATGTCTTGAATTCAAGAGAGAGACCTAACCTGAGACTATCAGTTAACTAATGGCAGCTTTTATCTGGTGCTGAAAGTCAGAATGAGTTTGCAGAGTACTAAATTCTACAGAGAATGAGTGAAAAAAGTAGGGAGAGGAGAGCAAGAGCTGAGACCAAGGTTTGACAACTACAAAGTGAAAACCAGAACAAGAACAGATAAGAAATTTGACAAATTCCAACAATCCAGACATGACTAGATGGAGGAATAAGCAAGTGTAAAGTCTGACAAATAGTATTAACAAGATGGAAACAATTGATAGCCTTCAAATAAGCAGGATTTAGAAAGGTAATGGGGAGAATAATGTGAGAAAACACTTGGTAAGTTTAGGAAAGACTTGGGGAGGAATTCTTGAGAACATTGAGTGCAGGCAAAGTCTGGAAGGGAGTTGGTGCAAAGGGAGAACACTAGAAAACTGGGAAGAAGTTGAGCTACAAGTAAAGGTTTTGCTCTTAACGCTCAGATCTGAGATATAAGAAAGAGCATACTCAAGTGAGCTCAAATCCTGAGAAGAAATAGAGCAAACTCCTCAATGAGTGAATAGTTGTGATGGCATGGGGGACATCCTTCAGGAAGAGGAATTTATGGAGAACAACACACAGTTTCTGTATATGTTCTCCAAGATAAAACAACAAATGCTGTCGATAGCACTTGTGATGCCAGGAAATGTGTTCTAATGATTTTAAACTTTTCAGTTATATCAAAAATATGATTATCATTTAAGGGCAGGAAGAAGCATCTGGGATTTTGAGATACTCATTTTGAAAATGATGAAAAAAGGAGGATAGGTGTTTAGAATTAAATTACCTGATAGCATAAGACATCTAATTGAAATTTATCATTATAAAATGATATAAAAGTTAAATCTTTTTATTTTTTGGTGGCAAAACACTAAGAGTCAGACAAGGAAGAAGAGTCGAGGGTAGGGTGATGGTTGGCTTTAATGGCAACTTGCCACAAATTAGAATCACCTTGAGCAGGGAGCCCCAACTGAAGAATTATCCTAATTGTCTATTGATGAAGAAAAAACATCCAAGTGTAGGCCACAGCCCTGATTTCAAAAAAGACATCTTTTTATATTATATCTTTTATATTATATTATATCATTATATCTTTTATCATCTTTTGTCCTTTCTCTTGCCTGTCCAGCCAACCTGCTTGCTGTAGAGTTGATTTATCCTATTACTGCTGCTAGTACCCATTGCACCACTGATATCTGAACCAGGTTTCATCACTGACTGAGAGACAGATCTCTAGAAACCTTCCAAGTTTCAGGGGCCAGATTGGGGCTGTTGACACACTCAGCCTTGTGGACTGAGTAACTACTGGATTCTTGTTCTCTCTGAGATGAGACAGTCAGTGTGGGTCTATTCCAAGTTCTGAAGTGCCCAGACTCATGGACCAAGCAACTACTGGGTTGTCAGCTTCTCAGGTATAAGAAAATTGTAGTTATTATCTTTATGTAAGTCCAGTGAATACATTGTTACATGTGTGTCCTATCTGTTCTATTATTAGAAGATCTCTGACTGCTGAAGTGTATGTGTAAGGGTGTTAATAAAGACTTACTATTGTGTCATAGCTAAGTAAGTAAGTGTATGGAGGTTTAGAAGAGGGTTAGTTGATTATGGGTTAAATGGAATGGATACTTTATTACAACATACAAAGAACTGTTGGATGCCAAGATAGAGAAGGAAATGAACTGGAATAATAGGAACTGCTAGTCAGAGGGGAATACAGATACATGAAATTAATTTTCTAAATTTAATGATGAAAGGGCAAATACAGAATGTATGGATGAAAATGAGTAACCCAAGGCAACCACATGATATCAGATAAGGCTAAAAGAGCATATTATTGAATACTCAAGCACAGTCTATCAGTCATTCAGTCAATTCTGTATAGCTGTCTCCTCTTATTCTTGACTTCATTTTCCAAAAAATTAAAAACATCCAAATAATAAAAATGTAAAGTATTTGCCTTACCCAGTTAGTTTGACTGCATGTGACCGAAGTTTTCTATACTTTTCTGATTCTTCATTTGTGCTGATAACATGTCTGTATATCCCTGTCTTATAATAGAAGAAATCTTCGTGGACTTGCATTATGGCTGAAATAAACCCAAAAGGATAAACAGTACAGTTACTAAAATGCTTCTTCAAAATCTCAGAAGGTCTCCCAGACCAATCAATGGTTAACTTGTGAGAAATGGGGTCAAAGAAGAGAGCACACTAAATTTCCTTCTTATCAATTGGTTACAAACTTTTCTTATTACTTAAAAAAACAATTTCAACTACTTAGAATATTGCTCATGCACACGTTTTACATTTAAAATGCCTTTAAACCTTTCTTTGTTGGGTTCTAATAAAAGAAAATCATGTACAAAAGAAGATTTTGGCAGGGTTTCATCCCTTCCCCTCTGGAGAACTGAGTCTGTATTGCACTCTTTGAAAACCAGAGCCTGTACTTCATAAAACCCTCCTTCATTCCTTTTCTTAGATTTTTTTTTCCTATTTCATGTGATGCTTTGTGGAAGGGCTTGTGCAATTCAGGTCTAAGACTTTAAACTTTCTCTCAGGAGGCATGTCCTGAAGATTGTTTTTTAATTGGGACTAGACATGGATATCATGGTAGCTAAGAACAAAGCTTATCTATCTTAGCTCAACATGTGTTTTAAATAAAGTCACAATGAAGGTCACTGGCATTTGTGAGATCCTACAGTGAAGTTCATGCTGCAAAGAGAAACGTGGCTTCTCGTGTGCTGATTTTAGCTTCGGTCTTTATCATTCAGGGACTTTGGAGGGCTGTGTCATTGGAAGTTGAGTCTCCTTTACCCACTATAAAACACATCCCTCATAGGGTGTTAAGAATTTTTAGATTGTATCCTATGTAAATTTCTGCTGTCTGCAGGTTTTATAGAAATGTTCATAGTGTTATTTATTCAAGGTTCAATCCATTTGTCTTTTATTTTTGTTACAAGGCAGACAGAAATGCTATAAGTTAACACAGGCTACTGCAAGCAGGCAATCAAACTGCATCTACAGCAGGAGCCAAGTAGCATTCTTTTCATTCACAAAAATATGAAGACATTCCCAGTGATTTTCCTTTCTATATAACCATTGACTCATTTAACTCTTCCCACTCAGCTCTGTTGTAAGTACCATGAACAAAATATATTACACCTGCCATAAAACTGCCAACTAAAGCAAAGGGCAAGAAGCCAACATGAGACACCCAAGGGCACCAAGTTCCTTCAGTCTCTGCATTAAACTGAAGCAGATGAATTTAAAAGTTCGTGAGTGTGTAAGAAGCCCTGGAGAGCTGCACACAGTAAACGTTTGCACAGAACTGTGAGATGTTTGAGGACAAAAGACAGAAGCCTGGTGCATGCTTTATCTTGACTCTGGCTAAGGCTGGCAGGAGATATTATCTCAACAATTCCGGAGAGTTCACTGATTTGATTTTTTCTTATGTGGCCTTGAAATTGTTCTATTTCTAATTTATTATGTGGAAATTCACAAAAATATGGCCACAAATTAACCCCAGTTTTCCACAACATTCAAAAAATCAAGACCCAAATTTGTTTGACTGACAACAGAGGTTGGGGCTAGTATTACAATGATCTGGAAATTCAGAATGATTTAAGCCAAATTTACTGCATAATGAATTGCCAGAACTATTTAAAAGGAAAATGTCAAAGTAGGGGTTGTGAGTTTGGCCTTTAATTAAAATTTTTTCTGTCTCTCATATTTGTCTCACAGACACCACTAGACAAAGCACATAGTAAAATTACACACAAAATCTCACAGTTATAACAGCCAACAAATTTCACACATTTAAGAAGGAAAGAGCCTTACCTATTTGTTGCAAAGTTAATGTAAAGTTCGAAGATTTTTTTAAATTAAATTTAGGGCATGATTGCTATAATCTTCGATTTTTTGATAAACAGTTTTGACAGAAGTATTAAAAAACCATGATTCTTACTGTTCCAATACTAATTAGATCAGCATTCAGAAATAAAGGGAAAAAACTAACCAACAGTTCCTCAAATACATAGCAAGCATTTTTAATTTATGTCCCAGTATATTGATGTTTTACTCGTGCCTTTTGTGTTCACTACTTGAATTCCCATTTCACACCTCATTGAGTTTGTTTCCCCATGCACTTCAGGGAAAATATTATACAGAAAACACATTTTGTGAACTTAACTTTATCAACATTATTGGTACAAGGCAAATTCCAATAAAGAAAAAGGATGAGCTATACTTTAAAGTCAAAATCTATACCTAATATACCACTGTATAATTATATTATTTAATAATATTTTATTGCAATAGCAAATTTACAAAGTAGGTCAATTTATAATTTTTTTGTAAAACACAAAGCCATCCTAGTTTGTTTGATTTTCCTTGACCTAATGTAAAAAAAAAACTATCTACTTTGTTTCTAGTGATGCTCAGTCATTTTTGTCAATGTATTCATAAAACCACTTAAAATGAAAGTGATTAAATATCTAATCTTATATGGGATTCTTACATGTGACCAAGTGAGTAATGTGAGCTCCATTATTCATTGGAAGTCGTATGTACCTGTCAGGTAGTCCATAATAACTCTGAAAAGCCTCAACCAGCTTTCTTTAATGTGTTATTAGTATTTAAGAGTTCAACTAATAAACAAGTTCATCTTCTTAAATAAAATGAAAACTCATGATATGCTTTGGTGAGCCAATCGTCTGCGACTGCACAGGCTAGAAGTGACTAAGATTTTCTTTTTTTTTTTACATTAACATTTTTTACATTTTCTTGAAAATGACATTTTGTCTGCTCTTACCTTGAACTGGTCCATTTCGTATGATTTCTCTCATAATTTCAGTTTCCTGGAATGAAAAGTATCAATGAGCATCGATAAGAAACACTAAAGTTAATGTCTGTTGTATAATATAAGCTGTAGTATAATTCATTTAGGGATTACATAACCCTCAGTGACCTGACAACTTGCAGTGCACTGTAGTCCTACTTTGAAATGGTCATATGCACTATAATGCATTGATGAACTTGCCAAAACCAGGAGTTATGCTATTTGCTTTATTGATTTTTATTACAGTAATTTTGGAGTGGAGAAAAATGTGTAATTTTTATGGTGATAAGGAAAATAGTAAAGATAAATTAGAAGATTGAGCTAGTGTATACTCATGTTACCTTTGATCTTTTGATCACAAGAACAGCTACACCAAACACCTGATGAGTAAGGTTCTACAACAACTTCAATACAAATACTGTTATTTTGCACTTATGTCCCCAGTAAGGAGGCAGTTCATCCATCCACCCATCCATCAATTCATTATTCCATGCACATTTAGCACAAAGTATGTATTACAAATTCTGATAGAAACAAATGCTGATGCTTAATCATTCTTCAGATAGCTACATGTTGATGATGTAGACAGATGATGAAACGGATAACATCAGAATCATATAATATGTTCTATTACAAGGACAAGCACAAAGGACCATTGATAACAACAGAAAACAACAAGATAACAGCAACTTAATGAAACAAAAACCTCCATCCTTTTACTATTTCATTATGATTTTAACTCTTACTTCAATGCATTCTTGATAAATAATTATATACTTGTCATGTAATTTCCTGAAGATGGAGAGTATCCTTCAGTAAATCCAAGTTAATATGAAGACAATAATTCCACTTGGAAATCAAAGAAAACATCAGAAGTTTTGCCATAGGTCTGGATCCTTATGTGAAGTTGCCTCAGGTGGAAAGGTGAATACCCATTTGAGTAGGAGAAATTATTTCCTATGTCAGTAAAGGATATTGGGAAGGCATGATCTATGTAGGCAATAGAGAAGGATCTCATTTATTAAGATCATTATGGGTGAGTAGAGGATTAAATACTGGCAAGCTATTAACTTATTTAAGCTGTAGGTCAAACATGCACAAAAGGCCAGTAAATCAGGATAAAAATGTTGGATTATAATCTGGATAGAACTAATGGTAACCAAAGGTTCATATATTTCTTTATGAGTCCACATAACCCTGATGAGATTGGGTTAAAATTGAGTTAGCATTAAGCCTCACAAGCTGGGGTCTAATGGGATTTTTCTCACTATAGTGAAGTTCACTTATATTATGGACTAAAGCACAAGATGAATAAACTGAACCATTGACACTAAAATGTAATGGCTTAACTGTGAATTGTCAGTTTCATTCACATACATATTTTATAAACCACAATTAAAAACTTTAATTTAGAGGCATTTTACAATTCAAGCCAATCCCTTACATTTTTGCTATAACTATTACATTGTGCAATAACATATGAAAATTCAAGTTTTTAATGGACACTTTAAGAATAGTGAGAACTGTATGTGAACAGGCCAGGGATACTCAGTGGTTATTTCAGAGATTCAGGCATTTGCCTACAAGCCTAAGGACCTGAGTAAATTCCAGGACCCACATGATGGAAGGAGGGAATCAGTTCCTGCCAAGTTGTTCTATGATGTCCACATATAAGTGACATATACTCATCCCCAGACAGACAAATGGACAGACAGACAGACAGACCGACAGACAGACAGACACACACACACACACACACACACACACACACACACACACACACAAACACACACACACTATATACAAATAAATGTAGTAAAAATAAAAGGTATACCTATAAACATAACATTTGTTAGTATATACTCATTTTAAGTAATTTAAAAATAGTTTGAACAACGTCAGGGCCATATAGTTTGAGAATGGCATCCTTGTTAGTTCTCACTGTTTAGACTTACATTGGAAGAGACTCTGTATGGGGGAGAACACTGGTAGATTCTGTTGGATTTCTCAAAGCTGTTGGGGCATGGCTTTGTGGCATGACGTTTTCCCCGCCCATCTGATCTACTTGCCATAGCACAAATATTATTAGTAGTGTTTTGGTCCTTGAAAAGAGGGTAGCATGCATGAGATACCAGTCTAAGAGGAATAAGAACAAAGAGGAGATTATTTAGGAAAATGTCATAATATTCTGTCTATAGTCAAATTTACTGAACTGGACATTTGTGGGGTTTGCTGTTCATTTGCCTGATAACTCTAAACTGTCAACCAACTACATAAAACAGCCACTTAATGATACTATAATCTTCCTTCTTATTACTATTTCATTATAATTTCTAGCTCATACTTCAATCCATTTATGATAAATAATTATACAGTTGGCATGTAATTTCCTGAAGATGCAAAGTATCCTACAATAAATCCAGATAAACCTGAAAACATTTATTTGATTATTTGTTGGTGGAATAGCCTGAAAACTTCACTTTTAGAATTAATATTGATTTTTATTTTGTTGGCACTTCTGTTATGCTATCCTTTTTCTTAAGATTTCATTGAATATGTGTCTAGATCATGATACTATAGGGAAACACAATAATGTACATGTAATACTGAAATTGATAGGGTAAAAAGTTCTAAGTTGCATATTATACAAACATTCAACTATTATTGATAGATTTTGAAACCAAACAAACAAATAAGTTATTTGGTCCTAAAGAATTTGACACCAAATTTAATATTACCTCACTGAATAGAGAAGTGGATAGTATGGAAATAAACCATGAGTTAGTTATGTAAATAAGCAACACTAAAATGGCCATACACCTAGACAAGTAGTTATCAACAACTAATGACTGCTAAGAGAAAAGCTTTAGCCTCTCCCAGGGATGAGCCCACTTATTGCTTATCCAATACAATGTGGTCAGCCCTGAAACTGTATACAAACAACAAAAACATACCCAGTGGGTTGTATTTATATATTTGTACATTAAATTGTGTGTGTGTGTGTGTGTGTGTGTGTGTGTGTGTGTGTATGATCAGAGTAAAATTATAAATTTGGGAGAAGGGGCTAGAGGAAGGAAAAGGAAGAAAGGAAGTGAGGTAATTATATTTCAATTAGAAATGTATTTGTTTTTAAAAGATATTTAATTCCCTAAAGCTTAGGTAATGAAAACTGAACTTCCACCTTAAGATAATAAGGTTTAACTGAGGTCATGAGAATAAGTCATGGATGGGATTATTCTCCTCATAAAAAGAAGAAACTACTTCTCTACTTCATGGGGATAGTATGAGAAAGTAGACATTTGCCAACCAAGAAGAGATCACTTCTGATGCACTGAATCAGACAGCATGTTTTTGTGACTTTGCAAACTGTAGGATAAAATGCATATTGTCTAAGGCATTTTCGTATGGTAGGCTAAGCAGATGAACACAATGAGATTTAGTTGTATTGCAATGTCAATTTCTGCACACAATATATTTAATATACACATATTAATTTGTGTGTGTGAGATATGTGTGCACACCTGCATGCTGGTGCTTGTGTCCTTAATTACACATATGGAGGACAGAGACTGAAGATGGTTTTTTTGACTTTCACTCTCCTCTTTTTTAGATAAAGTCTCTCACCGAACCCGGAATTTACCAATGGCCTAGTCAGTCTGGGTAGTGAATCCCAGGGATATTCCTGTTTCTGACTCCCACTATTGATATCACAGGCTTGTGATGCCATAACTGGCTTTTTATCCTGGTTATGGTGCTTCCACAGCAAGCACTTTACCCACTGAGCCATTCATATATTATAATACAAATACTACTGATAATATGATGATGCTAATTTTACTTTTTTTATTTCATACTTGAGTATTGAATTTGCACCATTTCTGCCACTTCTTATCCTGCCTCCAACTGCTCCACTTTTCCACTTTCTTTTCCACTTCCTCTTAAATTCATGACCTCTTCTCCATTAATTAATATTATAACATATAAATGTGATATATATATATTTCTCATAGGAGGCATCCTGGCCCTCTGGCTCTGTATCTCTCTGTCCTCTCTTTTGTGATTTGCCCTAGCACCTAGTTATAGGGGTTGCTTTGTAGATATGTCAACTTTCATTTGATCATAGGACCAAGCAAAAGTTAACCAAACTGGAAGATACCAATTTAGGCATCTTCAATTCATAACAATTCTTTATTAGATGAAATATACAAAAGAAATTAAGGTATTAGCTCCCATTAATACCTGTCAGGCCTCTCCCTTATGCCTGGCTATGGTCAGATGGCATGAAATAGCAGGCACACTAGTCTTAATATGGTAAAGAACAAATTGATCACCCTTTATAATACTGTCTATCAGCTAGAGTTCTTTTTGTTCTTTAATAAATTTGTTGTACACTAGACATCGGATGTTATATAGATATCAAACTACATGAGAGTAAAAAACATCCCACTTGCCATTTTCCATCAAATAGAATAAAAACTAATGGGTCATGAAAACTCTAAATTGCTCATTTATTTTCTTTTTCTTGTGTTTAATCTGATTTTTTTTCTGGAGTTCTATATTCCTCAGTCTGGAAAACCAAATGGAATAACAGATTTGTCAGTGAAATTGACCAATGTTACTCCCTCTGTGAAGACCCAATAAAACTATTTGGCTCAGAGCAACAAGAACAAATATTTCTTTGAGTCCTCATATTAATTTAGCTGGAAATGTGTACCTTCTTCCAACACTATTTCCAGTGGCTGATAATGTTAGCAGAAGCCAAGTACAATATATATTTAAATGTGGCATTTACTTATGGTCATATATAGGTATGCCATGTATTTTAGATCTTCTTTTTGAAAAAAAAAATCTTGAAACCAGTAGTCTCTACATTATCACTTTTAAAAAGGAAAATACTCTAGTACATCGGGAGCCCATTCCCCATAGAGGGATACTCTTTCAGCCTAGACATATGGGGGAGGGCCTAGGCTCTGCCCCAAATGATGTGACAGAGTTTGATGATCCCCCATAGATGTCCTCACCCTTTCTATGGAGCAGAAGAGGGATAGGGTGGGGGTGGGTTGTGGGGATGGGAGAATGGGAGGGACAGGGAACTGGGATTGATATATAAAATAAGATTGTTTCTAATTTAAATTAAAAAGGAAAACATAAACAAACAAAAAAGAAAAGAAAATGCTCATAACTATCCTAGAAACATATGTTGAACAGTTATTTACCCACGTTTTCTCAGGAACCACCAAGCCCTATCAATGCTTCCACTGTTGCATCCATGACGTTTCTTGGCACAACAAGAGATCAAATTCTGAGGAGAGAGGTTGGCTGTGTATCGACCCCTGGACTGAATTGCTATTCTGTCAGCTGCCACACCTGTTTCAAACAAAATACTCATTAATAATCAAGTAACATGTGATATCCTATTTCTAACACTTTTTTATTTGAACACTCATCTACTTTTCAAAATTGGTATTCCTCCAGTAGCTCACTGCTTGAAGGCTTTTTTAGTTGTGTATTCATGTATAGTCTATATGCATGTGAAAACTTTTTTCATTAAGAAGCCTGTCAAGTGGCAGATTTTCTGAAAGAAAGAGATTTATGTACCTGAACTGTCTAATTTGTGCAGCATCTTCCCTATAACTGCAGGTAAATCTATGTTTTATGTGAATGAAAATCAAGAAAATTCATCACAGAAATATTGACTATAAATTAATCTATTTAGATTAATCCACTGAGCTGAACTCTGGCATCCAGTTGCAGAGAGGAGGAGTGATGAGCAAAGGGGTCAGGACCAGGCTGGAGAAACCCACAAGGGCAGCTGACCTGAACAAAGGGTTGTTCATGGACCCCAGATTGATAGCTGGGAAAACAGCATAGGACTGTTCCAGACCCCCTGAATGAAGATGTCAGTTTGGAAGTCTGGGCAATCTATGGGGCCTCTATCAGCGGATCAGTATTTATCTCTAGTATATGAACTGACTTTGGGAGGCCTCTCCACATAGAGGGATACTCTCTCAGCCTAGACACATGGGGGAGGATCTAGGCTCTGCTCCAAATGATATGACAGACTTTGAAGATTCTCCCATGGAAGGCCTCACCATTCCTGGGGAGCAAAAAGGAGTTGGGATGGGTGGGCAGGAGAGGAAGGCAGGGAGAGGGAACTAGGATTGACATGTGAAAGAAGCTTGTTTCTAATAAAAAATAAATCAAAAATAGTATTTTAAAAGAATGTTTCATTGAATTAACAGGAAAAAAGCTTCACAGGAATCCTTCAAGGTGTAAATTTGGAGGTTTTTTTTCTAAAATAATTCACTTTAAAGAAATTCATGTAGACATGTGTCTGTGTGTGCTTTCTGCACACCTGTAATTTATTATTCTGCCATGTGTAGATATGTTCATTATTGCTTCCCCTTCAATCTCAGCTCCATTTAATTTTCAGCAGGATACACTTTGTAGGATAAAAATGACAGTATCCTGCAATCTCTGGTACTCTCAAGAGAATAAATATTTTATAGTGGAGAATAGAAGTTCTTTGATATGTTGATATTTGTTTCTGTGATTCAGGATCAAATATATTTTAAGTGTTCATACGTCATTTTATTGAGAATATTTTTATAATGAAGAAAAACAGTAGTGATGGAGGTAGAAGCCTGAGGCTGCAAATGATTTCTGACACTTCTTGTCTTTCTGACTTATTTCACTTTCATAAGCTTCCTTAATGAAATGGGAAAATTTTCTGAGACTGTCTGTGGGGCCATATGCTGGGATCACCAATCCACACATTCTCTAGAGCTGCCCTAGCAAGCTGCTGTGCTTCTTACTGCTAAGAACATAATTAAATGTATTTATAAATACAAATGTATACAGAAACACATTTGGTCTCATGGTCTACCCTAAATTTAAGAATTTGCATAGTTTAGGTGATGTTTACCACATAAGCACAAATTAGTGTTTTAGTTGATTAAGTCTTATTCAGCTGTTTGAAACAGTGCTCAAATGAATCATGGATTTCTAACTCATTAAGGCAAACAATGGAAAGACAACATCTGTACTGATAAAGTAGGCAGCAGTACAGAATAAAAATATATAACTACCACTGAAGAAAGCTATCCCATGACTATGGCTATGCCAGAGCATTTCTGGAATAACCTGGTTAATACTATGAATTAAAGGGACATAGTAATCTGCAGTTTCCTGTTCCAGAGAATGTCACTGCCTAAACTGGCCTCTCCAAGATCTTAGGCACTCATGTCACAATGCCTGCAGCTTTTAGTCTGCTCCCGGATGCTCTAATAGGACTGCATTAAAGCACCAGATATAGCTTTACGAAGATGTTGATAGTATCCAGACATGATCGTGGTAGGTCTTGTTTAACTGTGGAAAAGTCTTTGGGGATAATTTTGGAGATCAAATATTGGGATCTGAGTATCAAATCAAACTGAGCATCTTATTTATTGTCCTTAGGAACTGCATAAAATGAGCTGTTAGAGAGGTGTTTCTTGCAGGTTCAAGTGGATATTAACATTATTTTGTAATCTTATTAAAAGATATTATATCACCTTGAATTTAAAATCTGAATTTAAATTTAAATCTTAAATTTAAATTTTATTTTGTATAAAATGAGGAAAACTTTAATCTTCTGGACTTAATTCTAGAACTGGACTTTGCTTCAAAGTAGTTTAATAACTACAGTCTTGTGAATCTTATAAAAAGAAATAATGTGAAGATTTTGTGAGTTTATACATAAATATTAGGATTCTTGATGATGTTATGGTGAGAAGAAATAAAAATTATTTACCTCGTCCAAACTCAAAATCAAATGCATTTTGCCTCTTTATTCATTGTCTTTGTACATTAGGCACTAATATCCAAGTTTTAGATTAAACTTTATATCCTCCAGGTTTCTTTCTTCGGCTGGAATATTTTAACTGAACCTTTGTTATTATTTACATTTTCTAAGACTATAAACTGCTCATACCCAAAAAAAAAAAAAAAAAAAAAAAAAAAAAAAAAGGTATGAGGAAGTAACTGAAGTGATGTCATTACTTGCGGTGGAAAAAGCCCAGGAAGCAGCACAGTTTTTTTGATCCAATGGACCGTGAGTCCATCCAGGCCACTTATAAGAAGAAATGAAAACCTCAGGAAGATCAGCTCTGGCAGGAAAAGTTGCCTAAGGGAAAGAGAGAGAAATGTGTTAAATGTTCTCACGTATGCCCCGTTGTCACCAGAATATGAATGCAATGTTGATAATGATTTTAAATTCTTTTATTATGAATTTGGGCTTCTGAGGGAAGCACAGTTACAGGGATTTCCATTCTACCTTGTGTTTAAGGGCCACTGTATGTTGAGCATCATAGCATGGATTAGATGCTTTTTCTGGTTACCATGTCATGCAAGGACCTTTCTACCAGTGCCCCTGCCATCTTGAAAAATAGTTTGTTCATTCACATGAAGTCACATCTGAGATTGTGAACATCAGCCCTCATAAAGAAGGTTTACTTCTATATCTTTCTTCCTTTTGGGATGATATGTGAGTGTCAGGTGAGAGAATTTCAAACAAAAGTCATTTAGGGCAATTGTACATTAACACAGGAAATCATTCAATTTGCATGATTATGAGAAATGAAACAAATTAATTTGTTCATATTATTAAAATGCTTAAAGATTAAAGAGGACTTTAAAATTTGTATAATACCAAAGGAATAATTCCATGATGTCATAAAAACCCACATTAAATTCCTAACAGGGTCAGTTCTACTATCTCAACCTATCTAAGTGACATAATAAGAGGAAATATTTGCAACCCTTTTCAATAAATGATGTAACTGACTTCTAAAAGCTAATGGATATGCTAAATACTCAGTTAAATAAGATTTTTTCTCTCAAACTAGACCCTTGGCTTAGAGTTTTGTTGACATCATGCTCCATTATTGTCATCTCTATGAGAAATACAAGGAGGCAGCACCTTGTATCACAAGTTAAATGTCTGGAAATGATAAAAGTTCATTGATTTAATGGTCTTATGATTTGTGCTCTGACATCTTACGAAAAATTACTTCTGACAATTACAAAATAGACTCATAGTCTAAAGTAAGTAAAATTTAAAATATATCTGTCTCTATGAAAAACGCATCCATCCAAAATAACTTATGAATTAGAGCATTGATGAGAAAATTCACTTTAGACTTAGAGAAATATTACTATCCAATAGGAGAGTAAGAAATCCTAAGTCTGTTCCAAAAAGTATTGCTACTTAGACAGAAGAGTGAAAGACATAGAGCTGATTACCACAAATAGCTAAATGAAAAGGATTAGCATCCCAGGGATCTGGAATGCCAATGCTGCCAGATGGTCCACATGGTAGAACATCAGAGTTGGAGCAGCATAAGCTTCGAGGAACCACTGAGGAGACACAGACTCAACCTCAAAGTTGTCCTTCTAAATGGGAAACTGAAGCACGATGTACACACAATCTGTGCTTTCCTTTATCTATCTGATCAGTTGATCAGTGTGCTTTTAAGCATTTATCACATTAAAGTGCCTCAAGCACCCAGAAACTTAAGTGTCTGAATGTCAGTTGTAATTTTATGACTTTAAGACACAAATTTTAAGAGTAGGGTGAGGATACATCACTTCTGCCCTGTTCAAGCAATTAAGATCTATGATTTCTAATATATTTCAGCAGGATTTAGTGATGTGACTTCCATATACGGGAGATGATCATTCTGTTTTGCATATGGAAGACAGTCTGATAATAATAAAAGAAAGTGTGTGTGTGTGTGTGTGTGTGTGTGAGAGAGAGAGAGAGAGAGAGAGAGAGAGAGAGAGAGAGAGGGGGGGAGGAGTTAGGTAGATTTCATCTTTTAAAAATGTGATTTCCCATGGGAGCCTCCTGAGGCCTGGGGACTGTGCACTGGGGAACCCATCTCACTGGTCCATCCCACCCAGAGACTGCCAACGTCCTAGTCCACCTCTACCCACAGGAGGAGGTAAGCATGGTCCTGTTTCCAGCCCGACTTCCAGTGCCCTGCTCAGAACCTCCTGAGGCTTGGGGCTGGCACACAGGGGAACCCAACAGACACAAAAAAGTTGGAAAAACCTCCTGTTTCTTATCAGACTATCATGTTTTAAAGTTAGAATTCAACAACACAAATTTCAGAAAACCTACTAACTCATGGAAATTGAACAATGCACAATTGCACCATTCCTGGGTCAAGGGAGAAATAAAAAGAAGAAGTTAAAGACTTCCTAGAATTCAATGAGAATGAAGACACAACATACCCAAACTTATGGGACACTTTGAAAGCAGTGCTAAAAGGAAAGTTCATAACACTAAGTGCCCACATGAAGAAACTGGAAAATAGTCACGATAGAGAATTAATAGCACAACTGAAAGCTCTAGAACAAAAAGAAGCTAATACACCCAGGAGGAGTAGACACCAGGAAAAAATCAAATTGATAGCTAAAATCAATAAAGTAGAAACAAAGTAAAACAATACAAAGAATCAATGTAAGCAAGAGTTGATTCTTCGAGAAAATCAACAAGATAGACAAACTTTTATCTAAATTTACCAAAAGGCAGAGAGTGAACATGCAAATTAACAAAATCAGAAATGAAAAGGGGGACGTAACAGCGGACACTGAGAAAATCCAGAGAATCATCAGGTCATACTCTCCACAAAATTCAAAAATCTAAAGGAAATGGACAATTTTCTGGATAGATATCACTTACCAAAATTAAATCAAGAATAGATAAACAATTTAAATAGACCTATAACCCCTAATGAAATAGAAGCAGTCATCAAAAGTCTCCCAACCAAAAAAAAAAAAAAAAAAAGCCCAGGGATAGATGGCTTCAGTGCAGAATTATACCAGAAATTCAAAGAACAGCTAATACCAATTCTCCTTAAAGTATTCCACACAATAGAAGCAGAAGGTTTATTGCCAAACTCTTTTTATGAGGCTGCAATAACCTTGGTGCCTAAGCCACACAAAAACACAACTAAGAAAACTACAGACCAATATCCCTCATGAATATTGATGCAAAAATACTCAATAAAATACTGCCAAATTGAATCCAAGACACATCAGAAAAATCATCCACCATAAATAAGTAGGCTTCATCCCAAGTATGTAGGGATGGTTCAACATACTAGAAAAAATTGTTCTGAAGGAGGTAACCCAGACCCAGAAAGACAAACATGGCATGTGCTCACTTATAAGTGGTTATTACCTGCAAAGGACAATCATGCTATAATCAATACACCCAGAGAGGTTAGGTAACAGGAGGATGCTTGTATCTCCCTGGGAAGGGGAAATAGAAGAGATTTAGTGAGTGGACTGGGGTAGGTCAGGATGGGTCAGGGTGGGAATCTGAGGAGTCATGTGTGGATGGTATGGGTGACAGGGTACTGAAAGAGCTGACCAGAAATGGGGTTAATTCAGGGTCAGGTAAAACTCAGTACAAAGGAAACTCCTAGGAATCTACAAAGATGATTCAAGCTAAGATTCTTAGCAAAAGAGGACAGGTAACCTGAACTGGCCACATCCTGTGACAGGCAAGAGTACCAGTGGAGATGTTGGGTTTCCAACCCAGCCACATACATAACCTTTGGCCTACAGTCTTCCTGGCTTATAGAATTTCCAGGGAATAAAGATTGCGGGAGTGGCCAGCCAACGACTGTTCCAGCCTGAGACCCACGGCACAAGAGTAAGCTCACCCCTGACACTGAATGGAGCACAATGGCCCAGAGGCTGAAGGGTCCAGAGACCTAAGGTAGAACCAAATATGACTGAAGAAACAAAATTTCAATGTAATGATGACTAATGATATCCTACTCATAGATTGGTGCCTAGTCCAATCAGAGAAGCTTCATCAAACAACTTATAGAAACAGATGCAGAGAACAACAATCAAACATTAGGCTGAGTTTAGGGATCCTGCTGAAGAGAAGGAGAATGGATTGTAGGAACCAGAGGGGTCAAGGGCATCACAAGAAAACTCATGGAATCAATTAACTTAGGCTCACAGGAGCTCACAGAAACTGAACTGACAACCAGGTAGCCTGCATGGGACTAACACAGACAAGCACTCTGCATCCCTGTGACAGTTGTGTAGCTTGTTCATCTTGTGGGACTCCTAAAAATGGGAGCAGGGGCTGTCTCTGACCCTTCTGATGGCTTTTGGGACCCTACTCCTCATACTGGGTTGCCTTGTACCGCCTTACTACATGAGGAGGTGCTTAGTCTTGTTACAACTTGATATTCGATGTTTTGTCATTATCCATAAGAGGCCTGCCCATTTCTTAATAGAATAGGAGGAGGAACAGATTAATTAGTTAATTAAAAAATTTCAATAACCTATTGCCAGTTTATAAAATGTAAGCTGGAAGATAAACATCTTTATGTTTTTTCAAAGGCATGCCTCATGTCTCACTACTTGCTGTCCCTAACATTTATTGAGCAGCTTCAAATGTTTTTGGTCTGTTGTTTTCTTTGTTGTATTTTGTTTTGTTTGTTTAGAGAGAAAGAGAAAACATGAAGTTGGGTAGGGAGAAGTGGGAAGTATCTGGGAAGAGCTGGTGGATGGGAAATAGCATCATCAAGATGTATCACCTAAAACATGTTAAAACAAATAGAAAAAGAAAACACACAGATTATAGTTAATGGCCAAGGAAATTAAACAGCCGATCAACTGTTACGTGCTACTTAGATAGCAATGGAATGTTCAGATGATCAAGTAAATGTTTTCTCATCAAAAATTTTAGGAGCCTTAAAAGTTAGTATGCAATTGATAAAATGATATTTGTGTTTAGCTCTCAACATACCACCAAAAATTTATGTCATCATTTTTATCTGTGAGTTTTGTCAACTAAGCTTATTTGCACTGAATAGCTGAATAAAGATTCTCATTAGGAGCTGGGCAGTGGTGGCTCACACCTTTAATACCAGCACTCTGGAGGCAGAGGCAGGAGGATCTCTGTGAGTTCTAGACCAGCCTGGTCTATATAAGAGCTAATTACATGACAGCCTCCAAAGCCACAGAGAAACCCTGTCTCAAAAAATCAAAAAAAGAAAGAAAGAAAGAAAGAGAGAAAGGAAGAAAGAAGAAAGGAAAAATAACATAAAAGAATCTCATTAGGGTAAATGAACATTTTTACCTATACCAACT